ACATTGGTAAAAATCAAATATTTCCGCTACTTTGAGCTCAGTTTCAAGGTCGTTTTCATCGTCAAAGTAATGAAAATCATCTCTATTTCTGTAATATGGTTTCCATTTTATCACCTAAGACCATGAAAAACGCGAATACAGCAATAAATATTATACGAAAATACACTTCAAAGTCGACGTTTTAATCCAAAAAAACGATCAGTTTTTTTTTCTCATTACGCACTGTGTGCTGCAGGATTTTTTTTTATGTGATGCACACTGACCACACAGACCCATTCTCTCACATGTGGGCCTACCAGCTTTCTCCCGCTTGATTTGAAGCCACTAGAATTATTGAGTATGTATATGTCAGAAACAGTGGCACATAAGACGTATTTATACAGCGTAAACAGTCAAAGGGTTAATACCACATTTACTATCTTAGAGTACTCTTAAATTCCTTGTACTGCCAAATAACCTCTAATATAACTACCAGTGCAATATTGAATCCAAATAACTGTTCTTAAAATTTAATACTTGAAATAAACATTACTTTTTCACTTTCTTTTTTTTTTTTTTTTTTTTTGCTAATTAATCTTTTTTTGTAATCATTATTACTTACTAAAATTTTAGTAAACACTATATTTACTACCAGTCAATTTTACTTTTGTACATTAATCATTATTTTATACTTTTCATAACATTTTGTTGCCAAATTTTCAAGTTTGTATATTCAACTCCAACCTTTATATTATCCTTTGTACCTGTCTACCATCATATTATAACCAAGTCATTGCCATTGTTATTTTTTACTTATTATTCTTTTGGTACTTTAATTTGTGAATTTTATTTTGTCAATTTAAATCTAGTTATACTCTTGGTCTTGTTAACAACCTATATCAGACCCTAGCGCAATTGCAAGTACCATTTTAATTTGTATTTTTATATTATAAGTTTATACCTAGTTGTACTTTAACTCATTCTAGCTCAATACATAGACAACAATAAATTCATTATATTAGACCTTAGTGCAATTACAAGAGTGAGTCTGGTGCCACTTGTAATTTTTTTTTTTTTTTTTTTTTTTTTTTTAGTATTAGTTTATACCTAGTTGTACTTTAGCTCATTCTAGCACAACACATAGACAATATCAATTTCATTATGTTTATTAGTGACTATACTCTATATGACCAAAGTGCTTTAGCAGTATACTTATCCAAACCTTCCACCACTACAGAAATCAGTATTAGAACTCACCACATAATACAGGATATAAATAACCACTATTTAAACCTAAAAGATGAATGATCACATTGACCCTGATCTAAACCTCCATAATCTAACACACAATCAAAACTTATTGGAAAGTAACTGCCTTTATTACACAGCATCACAAGCCAGCACTATCCTGAACACTGCTCAAAGTCTATCAGTTCTTAACTACAACATCAGGTCCTTAAGCAAGCACTATGATGACCTCCTGGCACTCCTTGATCACTAAAGACACCCTTCTGCATTATTCTTACTGAGACCTGGCTTAAGCAGGACACAATTGATATCTACCCACTACCAGGATACACAGCAGTCCACAACTGCAGACCATACCAAGTTGGGGGTGGTACTGCAATCTATTACTCTAACCAACTATCTTGTATTAGCACTAATTGCTTTAGTGATGAATATGGGGAATACATTTTTGCTAATTTTACTGTAAAAAAACCTCAAGACGCCTATAACAATCGGTGCCATATACCGGATACCCCACACAAACATCCCAAACTTCAGTGAGAATCTAAAGTCACTAATAACAATCAGACAAATGAACAAGCACCACCTTCTCTTAGCTGGAGACTTCAATATCAACCTTGGCCTACCAGATGATCAGACTGTAACTGATTTCATTAACAATATGAACAATGCACTTCTCATACCAACAATAACTAAACCAACCAGGCTGACTGAGACAAGTGCAACCATAATAGACCACATATGGACCAATATACTAGCCCCCCTTAAATCAGGGATAATCACAGACAGCACTACTGACCACTACCCAACCTTCCTCTTAACAAACATTAGTAAGCCACCACTCGAATACAACAAAGTTTCATTTAGACTCCATGACGAGGCCTCAATAAGGAATTTCACAGCAGACCTAGAGACTGTTGACTGGCCTACCTAATTCTCCAATGCTCATGGTATTGACGATTGGACAGACATTTTTCTTAACAAAATACTTAGACTATACAACAAACATTGTCCTATAAAAATGAAACAGATCACGAATAAACGGCTTGGTTGCCCATGGCTAACCAACAGCATTCTGAAATCCATTGATAAGAAACACCAATATGAAAAGCAATATAGAAAGGGCTTAATACACAAAGATGTTCTTAAACAATATTCAGCAGTTTTCACCAAATTAATAAAGAAAGCCAAACAACTGTACTACTCCAGCAGATTCACTGACACAAGAGGAGATATAAAAAAGACCTGGAAAACACTTTCCCAGATTCTGGGGACCCACAAACTGAAAAAAACAAGAATATTGTTCTAACTAAACCTCATGAAACACCAATGCATCCCACTGATACAGCTAACAGGATAAACAACTTCTTCTCAAACATAGGATCTAATCTCACCAGTACAATCCCATGTACCAATGCCCGTGCCGGGGACTACCTAGATGGGAATTTCCCAAATTCCTTCTATCTTGTACCAACTGAGCCCACGGAAGTCACCGCGATCATAAAGTCACTTAAAAATAACTCGGGGGAATCTGTCTCACGTCCCACCATTATTGTACAAGCGAGCGGCCCATGTCCTTTCGCATGCTATTACATTACTTTTTAACAAGTCACTAGAAACTAGCACTTTCCCGACACTACTCAAGACAGCAAGGGTTACACCAATACATAAAGGTGGTGACCCTACAGACGTAAACAACTATAGGCCAATATCAAACTTACCATTGATATCCGAAATCTTCGAGAAACTCGTGCACAGGAGACTACATATATTCATTTATAACGTCACAAAACATACTCAACCCCTGCCAATTTGGATTCAGGAAAAATAAAAGCACTAATGATGCAATTATAAAAATGCTAGACCTGCTATATAAAGCATTGGAAAATAAGGAATATCCGCTAGGAATTTTTATTGACCTAAGAAAAGCGTTTGACACAGTAGACCACGGCATCCTACTCCACAAACTTGACCACTATGGTATAAGAGGCCATGCGCTTGCATATTTTAAATCCTACCTTTCTAATAGGTATCAGTATGTCACCATTAAAGACACAGCCTCATCAATACGGCCACTTGATACTGGAGTTCCGCAGGGAAGTGTCCTTGGACCCCTGCTCTTCCTCATTTACATCAATGATCTTCCAAACATATCCCAACACCTGAAACCCATTCTCTTTGCTGACGACACGACTTACGTCATCTCCCACCCTAATCTTGCCACCCTCAACACCATTGTTAACGAGGAGCTGCTCAAAATATCGACTTGGATGACAGCCAATAAACTTACACTTAACACTGGCAAAACCTACTATATTATGTTTGGTAGCAGAGCAGGTGTTGCACAACTTAACATTAAGATGACAGCACTCTAATTGCCAGACATAATGAGGGCAAATTCCTTGGCCTATACCTCGACAACAACCTAAATTTCAGCACCCATATCCAGCACATAACAAAAAAAAGTATCCAAAACGGTGGGGATCCTCTCCAAGATACGATACTACGTACCGCAAACTGCCCTTCTCACACTATACCATTCACTTGTATATCCATACCTCACCTATGCTATCTGTGCTTGGGGTTCAACTGCAGCAACACACCTAAAGCCAATAATAACCCAACAAAAAGCCGCAGTAAGAATAATCACTAAATCCCATCCCTGGCTACACCCCCCCCCCCCACTCTTCATAGATTTAAACTTACTCCCTGTTCAGAACATCCACACTTACTACTGTGCAATCTATATCTACAGGACCTTAAATTCCAATATTAACCTTGACCTAAAATGCTTTCTTGATAGTTGTGACAGGATCCACAGGCATAACACCAGACACAAACATCTCTGACATTCCCCGTGTTCGACTAAACCTTTACAAAAATTCAATGTATTTCAAAGGACCTAAAATCTGGAACACCCTACTCTAGAACTGCAGACACATTAATCACTTTCAAAACTACAGTTAGAAAACATCTTATCTCCCTGATCCACCCCGACAACTAACTACATGATAACCACCTGGTGGTTCAAAATTACACTCACTCACCCACTGACTATAAACCCAGAAATGCTAATCTTAATTTTAAAATAATAAATCCTAACTAGTCATAAGTTTGCCTATGATACTCAAATATAGACACCTTGTATTGTGCCAAAACAAAAGCATTCACATTGCTAAACTCACAAATTATGATGTAGTCACTTAGCCTTAATACTATAATCTGTAAGGATTTAATGTTGAGAATTAATCTAAGTCTGTTCGAAATGCCTAGCCATGCTAGGTGTCCTAGTGGCCCCCTCTGTAATTAGTATTTTATAACATGTAAACCACAAAATACCCAAAACCTGTAAACCCCACATTGTAACCATTATAGAGAATAAACTTGAACTGAATTGAATTGAATTAAATTATGTTCAAGACAGTCTGGTAATTATGGATGTTATGATTCCATTTCTTGACAGTTTAAATAAAAATGATTATTGTGAATCTCACTTTAAATGTGAGCCTTGCTGCTTTCTCACTTTGGTTAAGAATTCTAATGTAACCAGCAACTCAATGGTGATGTCATGGTCTCACACTCATCACTGGCGAGAAAGACCTTGATGAGCTATGTGGGTTTTTCCCCAACACTGGTATACTACAGTCTAATAAACCAAGTCATAAAATTGAGTATAGGATAATACAATATTGTAATGCAGATTTCTTGTGTGTAATGTGATAAAATTAAATAAAATATTGATAACAGTGATTAAAATACTGATTTATTTACAGGTTATATGGGTGTTACTGTGGCAACATCAATGGGTATATTTACTGGTGCAGAAATAAGCAAAAATATTGCAAGCTTCCTTGAAGAAAATGAATTGTTTGTTCCTTCTGATGATGATGATGATGATTAATCATTAATTAAAAACAATTCAAGGTAAGTTTTATTAAGCAACAACAAGAATGCCCATCCTAAGGGGCAAAAGGACCATGGCAAATTGCATTTTGAGGGTCCTGCCTCAAAAATTTGATTTGGAGAGTTTTGTCAAATTTAAACAGGTTTAATCCTGGAAATAAAGCTAGTTTTCTTGCATATATATATCTGTACTATCACCAGAAGTTGCTAGAGTCCATTATTGTATCACTTTCATTACTAGATAATGGTGTTTGTAAAATCAGAAATAAAGGAAACCATTGTCCGGCAGTTCAATTCCTCAAGATTCCAATGTCATACAGTATTGTTACTTTCAAGTGTGTGAAGTTTTACTTTTTGTTGATAAAAATGTAGTTGGCATTGAAAATTGTGCATTATGTGATTTAGGGCAATAGTAAGACCTTTCATATTTCATGGATTGAGTTCACTACATGTTTTCAATGGGTGTGTATGCTGGTGGTGCAGTTGATAGCATCCTGCCTTGCATCTATTTTAACAGGTTGATTCTGCATGATTCCTTTCTCATAATACATACTCAGATAATACTAAAATTTAAAGGACTTTCAGCCTTAAATATTTAACCTATGGTGCTTTTATCTGAAGAAAAAAAATATGGGAATTATGTTAATATGACCCAATGGAAGTTCACCATGAAACTTATGCAGGTGAGGCAGTTGTCACAGGCTGAGTTCATTTTCAGGAGAGATACAGGGATAAAAGTAATTCCTGCAATACTGATGCTTTAATATATGTAATTTTGGTATAGTTATACAAACAATCTTGCATATCAAATAGGAGAAAACTAGGTGCAGCAGTGTATTTTATTTTCAATATTTCTTTCCCAGGTTTGTGAATTTTCATCTAGTCTTCACTGCTTCCTTCAAATCATTTATTCAATTTATTAAGTTAGCTATTAGTTTTACTTGACTGTAATGATACCAATGTTAAAACTCTCATGTAAATGAGTAAAATGTTGATTTTTTTATGCATATATTAGTGACTTAACAATTATTATATAGTTGTAAAATATTATGCAGTGTAATTTATGTATAGCATGAAGATTTTACTTTAACATTTGCCATCTGTTATATACAAAGTATGCATTGGTTATATACTTAATATACCATATCTCTGTCATGTAACTTGTTTAAGATGTCTGATAATACTTATAAATATTATAACTGTTTAAGGTATAGCATTTAAGTTTTGCAGCGAGTTTTTGTTATCGCGTAATACAGTATGTAAAATCTGGTAGAGTTGTTAACGTAATTCTTTGTATGAGTAAACTACAACAGTGTGTTTCTTGAATGCCACATGAAAAAAAAGGTCACTTGTAACAGATATACTGTATTTTGTGTACATTATTTACATACAGTATTAATGTTACTGTAAAATCTTAATAGGTGGAAAGTTAACATGAAACAAATGGAGAACAAGAATTTATCTTATTCTATGTTAGTGATTTATTCCTGTATGTGGAATTTTCTTTTAATTTGCTTTCTTGCAGTGACTGGAAATATCTTTGTTCTGATGATTTACAGTAATACTAAGTGTTTTAATTAGTTTTATGTATTGTATTAAACTTATGTTGAATAAAGTTATCTAATGAAATAGTTTTAAAAATTTTCCTGGAATGCTAGAGGCAATTGATGTAACTGAATGCAAACAGTGTATGCAAATGTGTCAGCTGGTAAGTAGAGATGGAGTAATTTATTTCCACTAGACACAATAGAATTGTAATGCTACTTGTGAAAATAACTGGTATTCATTTGTTACAGCCTTTTGCAGAAAAATCAGTATTAAATAGAATTATGAGTACACTGTAATATTGTTAATTGGCAAATTAGATGGAAAACTATTTACAATAAACCCTCTTACAATGCAACTTTCCATAGAGCAGTTTTGCTGCATCTTGGTTAACCCTTTGAGGGTTTTCGTCGTACTAGTACGTCTTACGCGTAGGGGTTTTTGACGTACTAGTACTCATAAATTCTAGCGACCTCAAATCTAGTGGGAGAAAGCTGGTAGGCCTTCATATGAAAGAATGGGTCTATGTGGTCAGTGTGCACAGTCTAAAAAAAATCCTGCAGCACACGGTGCATAATGAGAAAAAAAAAATTTTCCATTTTTTTTTAAAAACAGCGACTTTGCAGTGTATTTTCGTATATATTTATTGTTGTATTCTAGTGTTTCTTTGGGCTCATTTATAGAATGGAAGACATATTACTGAAATGAGATGATTTTGACTGGTTTTACAATGAAAGTGTGCCTTGAAATTGAGCTCAAAGTAGCGAAAATGTTCGATTTTTACCAACTCAAAGTAACAAATCGTGCCAAGCTGCAATAACCAACTGGTGATCTAATATTTTTCACAAGTGCACCAAAAATTTTAACCATTTTTTTCACTAATGCAGTGTCTGCATAACAGAAATCTTTTATTTTTTGTGAAAAAAAATCAAAGTGGAAACCCAAAAAATATAAAGGGGGGCCCTTTAGACGTGACAATGACTAAGGGAAAATCATTTTTTCCAGGAAAATCTTTCTGTTATTCGGACCCTATTCCGAAATTGGGTCTTTTTGAAATTTTTGTGAAATTGGCAAAATTGCAAATTCTGACCACTGTACTGGGTAGTTTAATTTTAAATGGGTGGTTTCTTCACCCATTCGATAGAAAAAATGGGGTTCTAGCAAAATTTAAATTTTTTGTCGCAGTACATGAAATTCCCAAAAAAGGGGGTCAAAGTGGGCAAAATCGCCGATCTAAAAACGCCGAGACCGCTAACTTTTCGAGAGCAAATTTCCAAGTTTTCTTTAAATTTTAAACTTTTTTTGCGTTATGATCGGGAAAAGTTCTCTATCTTTTTATAAAGAAAATAAATTTTTTTTTTTTTTTAAATTGGCCGACCCTGAGAAAATTTTTGAGAGGGCCTTTGACCCTCAAAGGGTTAAAAAAGGAACTGAAAAAACGATAGGCTGCAAATATTTATATTAATGTAAAACAATGAAACCGGTTATTTTCAAAAGCGGACTTGGTCCTGGGAAAGGGAAGTACAATGCCTCACTTTTAAAAACCCTTTTAGGGGCCCCCAATCACGGCTTTTCGTTTAGGGGCCTCAAAGTAGATCTACGTCATGAGCTAGATCACTCTGATAAACTGTGAGTGGTAAAATTGGGCTAGATATGAGAGAATTCATCCTGTGGTATTGTGTGCATCCACATAAAACAAATCCTGCAGCACACTGTGTATAATGAGAGGAAAAAACTGAGACCGTGATTTCGATTAAAACAGCGACTTTTGCAGTGTTTTTTTGTATGTTTTTTATAGTTGTATTTTGTGATTTCGTGGTCTCATTTGATTAGACTGGAAGACATATTACGGAATAGAGATAATTTTTGATTGGTTTTTAGCATTGGAAATGGCTTTGAAACTGAGCTCAAAGTGGCGGGGAAAAGTTAATTTTTGCCTACGATGTTCAAGAGTAAACAAAAGACCTCACACATCTAATACGCGCCAGTGGTGGGTCTAATCATACATTAATAAATGTGGTGATGATATTTATACAATTATTACAATATTGCATAACAGTAAATCTATTTTTTGGTGTGAATAAAAATTCATTATGTGAATAAAAAATCAAAATGGAATTTATTTGTAAAGCCTCAAAACGTAACTAATGAACAGAGGAAATGTTAGTTTAGTGCCAGGAATACTTACATTGTTTATTCTGGATCCTATTTTGAAATTGGAATATTTTGAACTTTGTGTTAAATTGGCCAAATTACCAATTTCTGGTCACTTTATTTTGTAGTTGAAACAGTTGACTTGGCGATTTCTTGTGCTCAATCGATAGAATAGAAGTAATCCTAGTGAAATAGCTAAGAATTTTGTCGACTGGAATAATGTAATTGGCCTAAAATGGGAGTCAAAGTCGCAAAATCGCCGATCGTAAATATCGCTGACACATCAAAATTCGCGAGAGCATAATTTCGTCAATTTCCCATCAAATTTCGTACTTTTTGTTTTATTACATTCACAAAAAGATTCTCTACCATTTCATAAGAAAAAATAAGAATTTTTTTTTTTTAAATTCTTGGACACTGGGGCACCACTTCAGATTTTGGCCTTGGACCCTGAAAGGGTTAAAGGAGGGGTTTGGGATATTGGCAGTTTGGAGGGATATGTTGTGTATCTTTATACGTATATGCTTCTAAACTGTTGTATTCTGAGCACCTCTGCAAAAGCAGTGATAATGTGTGAGTGTGGTGAAAGTGTTGAATGATGATGAAAGTATTTTCTTTTTGGGGATTTTCTTTCTTTTTTGGGGTCACCCTGCCTCGGTGGGAGACGACCGACTTGTTGAAAAAAAAAAAAAAATTAATAACATGAATTTTGGGTGGTACAGTTGTTGATGTTTTAAAATCTGCTAGCTGATGATCCTGAATGGCAAAGCCTCCCACAATTTTATTAAAGTACTGCTATATTTTTCTTTGTTATTCTTTCAAATGCATTCACCTTTTATAAATGATTTCTTGGAACTATTTGGTAAGGAAATTAATTTTGTAATGTTGTGAAGTTGGCATATTCAAGACGAAAATATGGTAATAGCCAAAACTACCTAGTAGGTACAATATGCAAAATGAAAAGACATTAAATTTCTTACACTTGCTGATATATTGTCCAGGCAATCATTCACACCAACTGCATGAATTCCACACTCAAACACTTAATCACATACCTAGCCTATCTTTGGCAAGTTATTAAGACACGAGCACCACTCGCATATTTTTGAGAGAGGTTCACCTGCACAACAAGCTTTATCAGTCCAGTACAGAGGCATGTGGTCTGAACCTTCTATACTGGAGCCAGTGGAAAAAGTGGAGGAAAGAGAGAGAAAGCAGTTGATGACTCTTGCACTTACTACTGCCTTTATATTTTTACTTGCCAGTAATTATAACAAAAATTGTCAATGCAGTTTTTTATTACTATTCTTATTAACACTGCTGTTTTACTCTTCTGAATTCTGCTACGTCACATAATCATTACATTTAATAATCCTATCACACAAATATACTTAGTTGATCCTTATGGGTCTACCATTTCCTCATCAATGTAATAATGATAATACACTATGTATTACAGTGGACCCCCGGTAATCGGCCACAATCCGTTCATGAAGGTCGGCTGATAACCGAAATGGCCGATAACCGAATTAATATTTCCCATAAGAATTAATGAAAATAAAATTAATTTGTTCCCAACAAATTTTTTTTTTCTCTCTCTCAACAAGTTGGCCGTCTCCCACCGAGGCAGGGTGACCCAAAAAAGAAAGAAAATCCCCAAAAAGAAAATGCTTTCATCATTCAACACTCACCACACTCACACATAATCACTGTTTTTGCAGAAGTGCTCAGAATACAACAGTTTAGAAGCATATACGTATAAAGATACACAACATATCCCTCCAAACTGCCAATATCCCAAACCCCTCCTTTAAAGTGCAGGCATTGTACTTCCCATTTCCAGGACTCAAGTCCGACTATATGAAAATAACCGGTTCCCCTGAATCCCTTCACTAAATATTACCCTGCTCACACTCCAACAGATAGTCAAGTCCCAAGTACCATTCGTCTCCATTCACTCCTATCTAACACGCTCACGCACGCTTGCTGAAAGTCCAAGCCCCTTGCCCACAAAACCTCCTTTACCCCCTCTCTCCAACCCTTTCGAGGACGACCCCTACCTCGCCTTCCTTCCCCTATAGATTTATATGCTTTCCATGTCATTCTACTTTGATCCATTCTCTCTAAATGACCAAACCACCTCAACAACCCCTCTTCAGCCCTCTGACTAATACTTTTATTAACTCCACACCTTTTCCTTATTTCCACACTCCGAATTTTCTGCATAATATTTACACCACACATTGCCCTTAGACAGGACATCTCCACTGCCTCCAACCGTCCTCCTCGCTGCTGCATTTACCACCCAAGCTTCACACCCATATAAGAGTGTTGGTACTACTATACTTTCATACATTCCCTTCTTTGCCTCCATAGATAACGTTTTTGACTCCACATATACCTCAATGCACCACTCACCTTTTTTCTTTCATCAATTCTATGATTAACCTCATCCTTCATAAATCCACCGCCGACATGTCAACTCCCAAGTATCTGAAAACATTTACTTCTTCCATACTCCTCCCCAATTGATATCCAATTTTTCTTTATCTAAATCATTTGATACCCTCATCACCTTACTCTTTTCTATGTTCACTTTCCAACTTTCTACCTTTACACACATTCCCAAACTCATCCACTAAACCTTTGCAATTTTTCTTTAGAATCTCCCATAAGCACAGTATCATCAGCAAAAAGTAACTGTGTTAATTCCCATTTTGAATTTGATTCCCCATAATTTAATCCCACCCCTCTCCCGAACACCCTAGCATTTACTTCTTTTACAACCCCATCTATAAATATATTAAACAACCATGGTGACATTACACATCCCTGTCTAAGACCTACTTTTACCTGGAAGTAGTCTCCCTCTCTTCTACACACCCTAACCTGAGCCTCACTATCCTCATAAAAAACTCTTTACAGCATTT